GAAAAACATACATGCAGAAATTAACAGCCAACCATACAACAGAGTTGACACAGAGCTGCAGGCATCAAAAAGGATCGAGACATCCCCAATTTGAAACCAAGACCAAAGGGGACCTGATCACTTTGATGCATGTAGGGAGAAAACTCATAACACTGTAAAAAAATCATCACCGTAAACAGATAGAGAGGACAACTTTTTTCAGACACAAGGTGGCATGATGATTGTGAAATGTACAACATGGGAGAACTGATTAGTGTTACAAAAATGCGACCACTGCGGAATGTATCGATGTGAGACTTGACTAGTTTTGCATTGAATTACAAATTACTGCAGTTATTTCAGATACTGCAGTCATATGAAACTTAGGATGCCAGGGTACACAACACAATTATAAAATGTATAAACATTTATGTGTCAAGGACCCTCCATGTATAAAATTAAGTATAAGCCAGGAGGCAGTCTCTTCACAAACTGTGTTCCCTTTGTGCATACTTGCATAATAAACCATTGTCTTGTTTAGACCCTTAACCATTGCCCTCTCTAGTCTCACTTGAATACCACAGCACTTGTTGACTTGGATTTGGAAAATGTTAAAGGCAGTAGTTGTATGTTAAATTCTCATCTGTGGAGTTTGACGTATTTTCCAGTGGCGAACAGATAATATGTTAAGGCTGTAGAATAGCCCAGAAGAAAAAGAAATCACATTTTATTCCATAAGTGAGTTGTCCTGATCAGAAGTACACATTGCCTGGACTGGTAGCCCAGGATTTGAAATGTTGCGGTACAGATCAGCAGAATATTTACGTACACATTAAAGGCCACATGGGTTGTGTTTTGTCTCATCTTAGTATGCCTTTAAGAAATATGCTCATAATATCATTATTGTGCAACAGCATGTAACTTGAGGGTATAAAGATAGTTCATTTTACCTCAGATCAGTTGAATTATGACACTCAAAACAAAAACAGAAGTTGCTGGAAAAGCTCAGCAGGTCTGGCAGACTCTGTGAAGAAAAAAATCAGCGTTAACATTTTGGGTCTGGTGACCCTTCCTCAGAACTGCATCCGCAATTCTTTCAGTTTTTGTAAAGTATGACACTCGTCTGGAACCATACTGTTCTGTCATAACATAATAGCATAAGTTTAGCCTAGTCACTTATGCACCTGAGGAATGTAACATTGTACATAATTATTTGTTGCAATAAACGCCTGCTGAATTCTTCAATATCATGATACTGCACAGAGTTCTTTCTATTGTGGGAGATAACATGAATATTGCCACCTCAGGTGAAACATTCAACTGGAGACAAACTCACACCAATGTGAATAATGTGCATCTATCTGTTTGTGCTGTGCACATTTCAATCTGTGGTGTTTCCTAGAATCAAAATATACCAATTTTACAAACATATGAGAGCAGAATAGGCTCTGTTATTAGGATCTGTTTATATAATCCAAATTTTATAAGGCAGACCTGCATCCCTTCCTTTCAAATGCCTGGCCTAGAAGAACTGCAAACTAAAAATTTCTAAACCACTTGTGTCACCTTGACTAATGCTATAAGAAGATGCCAGTTTTCGCTACTATTCAAAAAGGAAAGTATACCAGCATATGGAAGTTTGAAATTCACTAGTGCACAGCTTCAGTCACTGAACCATGCAGATGTACACCAGAAATTCTCAAAATGAAAATTATATCAGCCTTGTATCATGTGCAAAGTGATGAGGTAGCTAGCCACAATGCTATGTGGAGACCTGGAACTGGTCTAATACTGAGCCTCTGACCACGAAACATAATGAGAGTAATTTTGCTGTACCCAAAATGCAGCCCATCTTTCCATTTGTTCAAATTTCAGGCTGCCTGTTGTACTAACGTCTGATTAGGATGAGGATTGTAGTGATTGTCACGAGGTTAGCTAGGTGGACCTCACAGAATATGAGTTCCCTGATTGGTCTATTAATCTGATACAATCAGGGAGCCCTGGCTGACAGACATAAACAGAAGAATCAGAGGTTCTGTTCACTTTGAGAGCTGGCTCTGAGGGAGCCGAGTCAGTATTAAGCACTTTCCATATGTAAAGCAATGGGAAACCTGGTGACGAGACACTGGCCTCTTCTAAGTTATTTCAGGGATAGCAGAGAATAATCACTGAAGAAAGATGGGGAGTGTTTAGGGATGGACATGGAATTGGGGAATGACCAATTGCCAGTCAATAGATCCCTCGGGGAATCTGTGGAGCAGGGACGAACACGGACTCAAGCCGATGCTACTCTCTTTTTAAAGTAATTCCCCTTTAATTGTTGCTGCAAAGGGCACAGTGGCTACTTCATCATTCCAAGGTACAGATGTAATGCCTATCTGCACATTGCAGTCATGTTTCAGAAATCTGGCCTAAAACAGGTAATATTTCCCTCATTTCAGAGCGTAAGAAACTAAATGCCTGTTTCAGATTCACAAATGACCACTGAAAAATGTTTATTTTAACTGAGATTGAGCCTCACTGTACTAGTTTTACACCTGCAAAATGGGTGCAATGAGGTCCAACTTCCAAGCTCTTGCAGTTTTCACTGAAATACTTCCTGACTCCGTGGGAGTTTAAAGTTGAAATTGTCAAATTTCAAAATATAACCTTAGGCAAATATGTAAATAACTAGCTATTAATTAAAATTTGTATTGGCATGACTAGTTGTGTTGACATTTTTTCCATGAATGTTAAGTCTAAAATGTTTTGAGATTTGTGTGGTCATAGCTCAATCACTCCTCTTCCTTTTCTGAATGTGATCTTTGAAACGTCTGTTATTTGTTCAACTGGTGAAATTCATGCATTTTGTTTCAAGTGCTACTGCTCTCCGTTTTAAGACATTAAGAGTAACAAAACTGTTTTGTATACTCTCAACGGTCCTATGCAAAATAACTAAGTTTAAACATCAAGAATTTTTCATTCCTTTATGTACTGTGTTCATCAGTGCAAGTGCAGCGTTACATTTGCATCTTCAACATGAAGGTCCAGCTTGGATTGCCATTTCAAGGTTTAGAGATTTTTAAACAACCTGTTCAGACATGCTACGTCACACGTCTGGAGCCGGTGGGACTTGCACCTAGGCCTTCTGCCCCAAAAGGTAAAGACACCACCACTTCTCCAGAAGAGACTCCTATTTTCGAAGATTATAATAAATACTTATGATAGGTTACATAAATTAAGTAATAAATTATATATTTCAGTAGATTTGGAAAATAAATTATACATGCACCCAAATTTTTGCAGAATGGTGTATTACTGTTATGCTAAATAAAACATTCTTTGTTCAGACTAAGTTGCTAATTGTTATATTTATCAGCTCACCAGCTAGTAGAGATTGAAATAAAATGTTTTATTATTCTAACAATTTGTTTTATCCATTATGCGACCATAAACAACTACCTGCAATGTTAACTCTATCACAGCTATGCTGACAAGATAAAACACATTTGGAATATTAAAAAATATCTAAAGTCATAAAATAAGCAATGCCTTAAGTTGCGTGCTGCTAAACATTATTTATGAAGTCATATATGTCTCCAAAATTTGGCCTTTTCCCCCTTTACTTTACAGATAATAGATGGAGTAACATTTTGCCACAGTAGTTTTCAAGACTAGTAGCAAGCTAATCATCTTTATTTTACTAAAACTGACTGCTGTATTAATTTCCATTCCAAAATTAAGCAATAATTTCTTGTTAACGTCTTCTACTAAATAATCTCAATATGCACCCTTTCATTTGAAAGCATTGTATTTGGGTTGTATAAATATCCACATGAAACAGAATTTAATAAGATTGAGACAGATAGCATAATACTGCAAGAAGTGTCAAAAAGAACAACAAACTTTTATATTAGACTTATTGCATAATTATAGTTGATCAGGTAATGGACTGAATTGAGGAATCGCAATTGCAGTCATTTGAACTGTTCTGCTTGTGTTATTAGTTACAAAAACAATTAAACTCTCAGAATATTTCTTTGCCATTTTAGGGATCAACAAACTAATTTAAATAGATTAAGGCCACCTGTCAGACAAAGAAATACACACATGCTAACATCAAAAACAAGAAGTTTAGTTCATATGTCTCCTGCAGACTATTGAGCTAAAGAAGGCAACTATTTTTAAATCTGCATAAACCAGTTTGTGATAAATATGATTTGTGCGTTATCATTTTCTACCTAATTTAGTTCTCAGTGTTAGACTCATAATGCAACCCTAGTTATTATAAATTGCTAAATAGTCATTTGCTTTGCAATACCCAAGGTTACTTAAGTTTCCAAGCATAGATATGGATAATAGTTAAAGTTGACCAAGGCAGCAACAATGCAAGCAAGCACATTCCATTCAAAATGCATATTTAAATTCCACGTTCTGGCTTCATAAAGCCTGATGTTTTGCTATTTTCCTATTTGTTGCCAGTGCAGTGTAATTCATTTCTATTTGTATGGCGTGCAAAATAATGGCTGGAGATGCATTAGAAAGGGGTATACAGTCTTCACATGAAGATGAATCAGCCGTGAGCATATATAAAAGCTGCGGTGAAAAATCGAAAAGGCTACATGCATCTCACTAATCCGACCTTCACATTAGGTTTGTCTTTTGCAGAGAATGCAGGATGATGCAACAGGCTTCATATTTTATATCAACAATAATATAATAATTTATTACATTAGCGCATTCATACAAAACATACTCTTGAAATTATGCAGTGGTACAGTAGTACAGAAAATTTGATAAGTATGTTGGAAACTTCAGAGGAAAAGTTAACCTTTTTAAATAGGTTATAACCTTTGCTTAAAGTAGCAATGAGAATTTTTGATAATGTACAGTGTACGTACACTGCTATCACACTGCAAAATTTAACGACTTTTAATAATTAAAATCCAAAGCTTTAACTAAGTGCATTTTGTATGCTTTTCAAACAATCACCTTACAGTCACTTTAAAAACATACTTTACAAATTGCCAAATTGATCTCACCTGAAGAGCAACTGTAGTATTCTTTCTGGGTTGCTTTCCTACCAAGCCTTGTTCCTTACGTCGCTTGAATTTCCTAAAGTAGTCCTGTATCAGGAAGGTGGCATAGAACTTCCCCACGGTTACCTCATCATCTATGTGAATAGACCAAACAAATTCCTCCTTTTTCAGAACAAAGCTTTTTTCTAATCATCCTGGAACTTTCTAATTTGACTGCTTTCTGTAAACCTGTGCTCTAAACTTTATAAAGTGCGATTATTCAAATTACTATATAAAATATACATTAAAGACTACATTTGAAGGAATTAAGTTTCAGAATTAAATGACACCATAATAGTCATTTGTATGTAGTTTAATTAAAAAGGTGAATAATACACATATTTCTCATCAAAAATTGTCAATAGACTGCAAAATTCTCTAAAATCCGAAGTAGATATATTTGCAGTATAACGTGAGCATATTTGTGACTGTTCTGCAGTTTTACAAGTTCGAAATGAATGATAAATATCAGTAGATAATCTGTAATTCTGCTATATACTTGTGTTAAATAATTGCAGCCTGAATAAGGCTATATGACAGAAACTGATATTTTAAAGTAGGTATTTAAAAACACTGCATTCAACTCTTGAACAAAACTCAAAATCCTTTGCAAACTTTACTTCCAGCAATCTTTTCATTTAATTGTATATGTTTGTCTTGAGGGACAAAAGCCGAATTTGCAACAATGTAAAATATGCACACTGTGCTGTGCAAATTATTTAATTAGTTGCAAAGAGTAATTATTGAACAATCTTTGCCATTTTTGGCTGCCATGGGCTATGGCTATCAAAATAGGTCATAAGAAATTTCCATTCCATTATTCTTTTAAGGTTGGAAAACCTCACTGAACAAGATCCTCTGTTAAGTGGTACATTACACCTTGTGCATCTTTTATTCTACTATGAATATATTGACAGTATTATCAGTGCACATTGTTCAATGGAACTGTAAAGAATGAAATTACAGTTGAGAATGAAAATACGTTCTATTTACTAAGTATATTTTTGAAAATCAAAAATATAAAATGAATTATTCACCTCCATGACAGATGTGAGCTAAAATTGCAAGGCTACAAAATCAGGAAGCAGATGGGCACAAACAAATGTTGAACTAAGTGCACAAATCTGACAGATCACTCAACCTGATAATGAATCATATTAAGCTGTTGCAGTCAATTATAACTAAACTGTTGGAAACTTTTGAATCTAACTTTGAAAAAGAATGGGAGTTTAAAAAAAAATGGAAAAATGTTATTTGATGATAGTAATCCTACGTTAACGTTCTGAGGAAGGGTCACCAGACCCGAAATGTTAACTCTGACTTCTCTTCAGAGATGCAGCCAGGCCGGCTGAGCTTTTTCCAGAAACCCCATTGTGCAATTCAGCTTTTGTTGATGAGGAATAGAAGAAGCATTTTCTTTTTCCCCATTTTGCACAATTAATTACCTATGGTAATTGACGCTGCAACCGAGTAATAAAATTGCAAAACATCCCTCACCTTACCGAGCACAAAAATAAATTCCAAGTATGACGTAATGAATATTGTAAATACTGTTATAATAGAGCTTACTGGCAATAACATAGTGGAAGAACTAGGTTCTTTTAGGAGAGAGGCTATGGCAGCACTTAGGGAAATTCAATGTGCAAGGAGCGGAAAAGGGGAAAAGCAATAAAGATAATTGAACATAAAGTCTAAATTTAGAGGGAAAGAAGTCAACAGGTTTGGAGAGAGTAGATGAATGCTGTTTAAGGGGTCAGCTGCTCTTTGGGAAAAGAAACCAAGTTGATCTTGGATTAGTGACCTCTAGCAGGGAGGAACAAGGCCTGATAATGCATTTACAGTCCAGTCAGCTCTGGTGATGGATGGATAAACTAATTTTGTGCTAGGTATGCTCAGATTTCAACCCCTTGGGCTTAACCAAGCAAAGATAGGTGTCATACTTTAGGATTAACTTAGATGAATAGGAGAGGTTATGTTATAGGAAAGATTTAGGGAGGAAAGATGATGAGTGGTTTCAGAAGAGAAAAGGCAAAGGGATCTGAGATACAGATTCAAACTACAGATGACAAGCTTCTTAATGCAGAGATCAAGGAGGAAAGGAGGGAGAATAAATTCAGAGAAACTTTAGGTAGGCTGGAGAGAACAGTACACAAAAAGGGTTTTAATTGAGAGATGAGGTTACGGAACCACATAGTAATCACCATTGCAAAGTCAGGGTCAATGTCACCATCTATATTAAGCTAATTGACAGCAAGGGTGTTGTTCACAAGTTAATGGACATTCTGGAGAGTGATTCAAAAAAGGAGCAATGGGTGTGGGTAAGTATAGGAATTTTGGGCTTTTAGCCAACTTTTTTTCTGCACCTCTTAATTTGTCTCATCAAGGACATAACCAAATGTTTGACAGCAAATTTCTTTATTGAATCCAATTGAGTGATTTGTTATGTTTGTGCCCATTTGACAACAAAGATTGTTCAGATTTAAAATGTTCTAAAAACTTAACCCTTACTCTAAAGGCAAGGTCAATACAATTAGCACAACAAATGAGATGAATTCAAGTATAAAGGCTAATAATTCTGTCAATTAAAGCATGTTTTTACTGAATAATTAGCAAGCTGGAAAACTAGCTATAACCTTGTAGTAATACAAGCATGAATATATTAAACCTATGAAGATGAAAAGCCTTTGTATCGTTTCCAATTTCCAAGACATGCAGATAAGACAAAACTGGCTGTGTGGAATATTTCTGAAGCACAGGTCTCCGTTTCAAATAAATCTTAGGGGAAACAGTTGTTAAGAGGCAACACGAGTTCCATGCCACCGGCCTAAAACAGAATTGCTTCAGAATATTCTTACAGATTGAAAGAAGAAAGGGACAGAAGCTGCAGAGAAGCTCAAGCAAACAAGTTGAAATGTTATTGGATACATGCAATTCTTTCTCAATTTATGCCATGCAAGCATTAGAAACAAAATTGAAGCAAATGGTTACTTAAGTTTTAAAAATTAAAAACTTTAGCAGTACGTAACAAAATTCAAAGCTCGAAGGTTACTAAACGTCAATGATAATTTTAACTATTAATAATGAAATACATTTCATTACTTATTACTTATTAAGCTGCAGACTTCATCTCCCAAGTACTTACCATACTACTGCACCATTATTATACTGCAGCAAATTAACAAATACTACAGCTGTCTTCTATAAAATATATCTCAATACAAGAATTGAAGTTTCAAATAAACTGATGGATAATCTTCAGAATTCAATTACTTTTCAACAGTGAGAACAAAGTGAAGTCCCATCTTAATGCACACTTCCCTCTTTCTTCAAATACAAAATCAATACCAAATACTTTTATTGGGTTACTTTCTAACAATGCATGTCTCCTTATATAATTCAAGAACAAACATAAACTAGTAAACAGCCTGTGATTCTTGAGAATATAAATAACAGCAGTGAAAATTGATCTGAACATCATAGCACTAACCATCAGCCGGAGGGACCACTTGATCTAGCAACTTCATACTCGTTCGCTTCCAGATTTTTTTAATAACAGCTCTCAGCTCCTCATTAGCTTGATCTAGGTTACCTGTATCAAAGGAGAAAAAGCATGCAACAGAATCAGCCACATGAACCTTTTGAAACAGTGAAGCAGCAACCTAATGCATAATTCCCAGTGAAGAGAGAGATTTATTAAATACTTCTACATATGTCAAACATAATTGAAATAAAAAGGGTGTCAGTTAGTTCAGTAGGCTGGTTTGTAATGCTGTGTACCACCAGCAGCATGGGTTCAATTTCCACACTGGCTCAGGTTACTATGGAGGTCTGCCTTCTTGACCTCACCTATCACCAGTAGAATGGTGACTCTCAGGTTAAATCACCACCAGTTGTTTCTCTCTAATGAGACAGCAGCCCTACGGTCCTCTGGAACTATGGCAAAGTTACCTTTACCACTAATTGAAAATGTACGAGGTGCAAGCAGTCATGTCTAAATTACATGCATTTTATTTTTCCAATATTACATGTTTAACTCTTGTTGCAATAGATATTTCTACATCTTGGCTGTTAATTTCTATACCAGATATACATGAACGATGCTCAGATTTAAATATTTTGATGATAAACTGAATGAAATGTGGAGAATCACAAAAACTCGGGAGAAATGATATGGAATTAAACCCAACAAGGATTCACATGGCATCAAACTGAGAATGGGATCACAAATTTCAAACCATTTTGAGAAAAATGTTTGTGTGGATTTGACAGACATTGGATGACCTCCCATGGACAACCCATTCCACCCCAAGCTTTAAGTCAATAGCCACCGTACTGACTAAAACTCTGGCCAACCCACACTGATAATATGCTGGGGTAGCCTTAATAGGGTGAGAGTGGGATTCAATTATGTTCCTGAAGGATAGCAAATCCCCCCCTCCAGAGCTGTCGGTCATTCTATTGACTGGAAGCTCTGTAGTCTTAACAGCAACAGAAGAGAATAGTGGGCAATGCTTGGGACTATAACCAATTCCTAAAGAAGATTAATTCTGGACTTGTGTGAATTTTGAGCAGTATGGACGGTTATGAGACCTTAGCGAAGAGTGGGTAAGGTTTCGGTTCAAGTTAGGGAAAGAGGGAGAAAACAAGGGTGGCAGTTTAGATGGCAGAAGGTGGATGGGTGTAGTCATTTGGTACAACAAGTCAATGTTGCAAACGCTACACTTAATTTTGTTACTGTCATTTCTATTATTGGATGTGTGGTTAGAAAAATATTATTACATTTCCTTTCTAAATGAAGAGCAGAAAAAGATGTGTGTTTTTAATAACAACGAATCACTACCAATATTAAAAAATGTGTAGAAATGCAATTCTTGAGAAATAAATTTAATTAGGGACATTAATGGAACAGAAAATGCGTTATAACAGAGATAAGGAAGATGGATCTGGAACAAAAATGATGATGTACATGCGCAAAATAATTGCACCAGACAAATTTCAGCTAGAAAATATCAATAGTTTAGAAATGGAACATACTGTATGGAGGCCTGGCATTTTTAATACAGCCTCAAAGTGTGAAATGTGGAGTAACATCACCATCAAAAGGTTATTCGCTGTGGAAATGTAATCTTTCTACTCCAAACCATCTCCAACACTGAGGCATCCAGTGCTGCAGCTGTGAACCCTAGATCCTTCTCACTTTTCAGATGCTTTATTTCTACAGTTCCGATATTGGGTGAGTGTCAGTAAATGGCATCAGCAGCAGCTCCTTCACCTGGGTGCAGTTTCCTTTTAACGAGGGACAGGCAGCTTAGCAGGTTGGTTGCAACATGTAATATCAGCATATCCTGCTGAACACTCAGGTAATCAAGTAGGGCAAGTTCTACACACTGAAGTCACAATCAGGCAAATAAAAAGCCAGCACCAGGTTTGCATGCCTCAATGGAAAGAGTGGATCGAACCATTAAAAAAGAGCCATAACTAACTGTTTGCTCTAATCTTTCTACTTTTGCAATACAAAGTCATGTGACATGCAGAGTGCATTGCTAAATCCCTTCTATATTGAAGCATGTCAAGCAATCAGAATTTGTTCTTGAGGGGTCTGATGGTCTCGACTGCTTCTGGCTCTGTTTCATATGTATGTGTGTACACATACACACGTGTGTGTTTGGTCAGCCTAACAGAAATCATAAGCAATGATGGTTCTTGTCCACAAATAACTGGCCTCTTAACCAAATATCTGGGTGGAAAAGAGGGTACACTGATGAAGAACACAGGATGAAAGCATGTATCTTGTTTAATGTTGCAAATCTACATAATTTCTCGTCTATAGTTGTAGATATTTTGCACATTTAAAAATAGAATTCTTTCCTATTATAGAAGAGGCTTAGCCTTGCAGTTGACCACAAAGGCTCACATGGATGCAACTCATAAGCCCCCTCACTTCAGAAATTTCAGAAATTCTCAAAAGGCCCATTGTTTTCTCTGTTGAACATTCTCCTTTGCAAAAGTGAGGAATTCCTGGTGCTTAAGCAAACAGTATTTCTACTACTTCTTTGATTGAAATGTGCATTAAAAGCAAAAAGATGGTGATGTGACTGGTTTTTGGAAGAAGTGCAATGTATAAATGATCAGGTCTGAGGTAAACTTCACAATCACTAGTGTTGTGGATGAATTGGTAAGGGACTCCAACTCTTGCTTCGCAAGTGACAGTATTCAGTCACTGCCTCCCTGGAAAACCAGAGCCACAGAAAACTATTAATCTGCAAAGCCAAGCAAGACAACTTGGTTTCCGTACAGCCTCATGTCGTCAGGCATGCTCTACTACTTCACCCTCATCCACTATCTTGTGAAGCTCTGTTCTGCTCGTCTTGTTGCTACCACCTCTTCATGATACAGCTCCAAGGCCAAGTTAAACCAAATGTCCAGGCAATTTAAAGGATGACTTTAGAAATAGCATGGAAATGACTGTGTTCTTTATACCTTCCTCCAGCACTATAACACTACTCCCTATTTAACCTGACCTGACTTTAATACGGCATTCTTGAATCTTAATGTGAAGTGGGATAAAATCTACTTACAAGGTTTTTTTTTGGACTTGTCTATAAAAGAAGCATGGAATTTGCTTTTCCCTCTTTTTTTTTCAACTAATTAATGGCTTAAATTTTAATTTGCATTTCTTTTCGCGAGTACTAAAATGTTTTGCAAATGTTATCAGAATCATGCAAATAACAATATTTAAAATATGATATTATTGAAAAACTTATATTACTACACATTGGAAAATAGAATGCTGTCTTTTGACCAAGAATAGTAAATGCTGGAAATACCCAATGGATCTGGCAGCATCTGTGGTAAAAGAAATTATTAATAGTCTGATTTGTGAAAAAGACAGAAAGTCTCTCTGTCTTAACAAAATAGTGCCACAGGCCCAAATCTGGAAATCCAAACGTGAACAAAGTGTCTATTATTTTTGCAGTGAGAGTTACAGACAGGTTCCAATATGCATATCCATGGTTTATGGTGGTAACTGCACATGGTAAAGTGCAACTGCCTCAGTCTAATGAGATTTTTTTTTAAAAGAGTCATGTTCTTCAAAGACAATTTAGGCAAATTAGACCCATGAGGAGAAGTTCTAAAGTTGTTGTGTTCTTTTGGTGAGGCAGAGAACTCTTTTGCAGGGCTAAGTGCCCTTTTGGATATGTTCCTAGATCAGCTTTTGGAGATATCAGATACCCATTGAGAGTGATACAGGTGGGAAGCCTTTTGGACTTGTTAAAAAAAACATAATGTGCATAAAAAAATTGAATTTAGTCACAAAAACTGTGAAGTTCATTCCATGTGTCAAAGAGATTTCAAAAGGAGCTGTCAAGGCATTTAAAACTCCTGCCCTTTAAAGATTTGAAAAAAAAAAGTGTCTCCTATGTTAGAAATTGTCACCTGTTGATATAATGCTGGGGGTTATGATTACAGGATTAGTGCCGAATGATGTGGATTTCAGAACCTTTCAGTGTCATTATGGTGTGCCTGTCATTCGACAGCATGGTTCATTACTTTAAATGGTTATAAACTCTTTCAACTGCGACTATGATTTTCACTGCTTGCTTTTTACAAAGAATTAATGAAAATTAAATGCACTGAACAAACTGATTAAAAGTTTATCATTGTGACATTTTAAAAAGAGTTAATTTTTCATTAGACACAAGAATTTTATCACATTTCTTTTCAGCATGGGCCTTGAGCTATATCCATTGAAAATTCTGGGTGAGTTAACATGGCACGTGCAAGTGCAAAGAGTGGTGGGGGCGTGGGGAGCAAGGGTTGACATGGATTGGTACAAAGTTGGCATAGAGGTACACAGGGCCATTTGAACAATGATGAGAATAGGTTGGCGTACTAGGTTAGGATTGGCACATAAGGAAATGAAACTGGATGAACCACCTAGCATTGAGTTGGCACCGGAAACAAAAATTGCAAAAACAGCCTTGTTGATCCTGCAAAGTCGCCCTCACTAACATCTGGGGGCTACTGCCAAAATTGGGAGAGCTGTTTCCAGACTAGTCAAGCAACAGACTGACATTAACTTTAAGGTATGATTCTATGAATATGACTATGTTACAGACACCATCATCACCATCCATGCATATGTCGTGTACTACCAGCAGGACAGATCCAGCAGAAGTGGTGGCACAGTGATATACAGTAGGGAGGGAGTTGCCCTAGGAGTCCTCAACATTGAATCCAGACCCCCTGAAGTCTCATGGCATCAGGTCAAACATGGGTAAGGAAATCCGCTTATCACGAACTGTCCTCCCTCAGCTGATGAAGCAGTACTCTTCCATATTGAGCAACACTCGGCGCCAACACTACAGGTGGAAAGGCGCAAATTATATTCTGGGGGAATTTAAATGTCCATTACCAAGAGTGGTTCAGCAGCTGCATTACTGATCGAGCCAGTTGGATCCTAAAAAGACATCGCTGATAGATTTGGTCTACAACAAGTAGTGAGAAAACCAACAAGTAGTGAGAAAACCAACAAGTTGGGTAAAACTCAACCTCATTCCTTACCAAACTCCTGGCTGCAGATGCATCTGTATCTGTAAGAGTGACCACCGCACAGTCCTTGTGGAAACAAAAGTCTTGCCTTCACATGGAGAATACCATCCAATGTGTTGTGTAGCACGATCACCGTGCTAAATGAAACTGACTTCAAACAGATCTAGCAAATCAAGACTGGGCATCAATGAGGCACTGTCAGCCATCAACAGCAGCACTGTAATCCTACAAACTGCAACCTCACGGTCTAGAATTTGCCCCGCTCAACCATTACATCAAGCCAGAGAATAAAGCCTGGTTCAATGGAGAGTCCGAGGGGACATGCCAGGAGCAGCACTAGACATACCTAAAACTAAGGTGTCAACCTGGTAAAATGACAGAACAGGATTACTTCCATGCCAAACAACCTCAGCAGCAAATGACAGACAGAGCTAAATGATCCGACCACCAACTGATCATATCGAAGTTCTGCAATCTGCTACATCCACTCATGAATGGTGGTGGACAATTAAACAACTCACTGGAGGAGGTGGCTCCACAAACATCCTATCCTCAATGATGGAAGAGCCTAACACATCAGTGCAAATGATAAGGCTAAATTATTAGCAGCACTATCATTATCCTGGGGGTTACCATTGACCAGAAACTCAACTGGACTCACAGGACACAGGCTAGGAATACTGCAGTGAGTACCTCATCTCCTGACTCCCCAGATAGTCCACCATCTACAAAGAGCAAGTCAGGAGTATGACGGAATACTTCCACTTGCCTGCATGAGTGCAGCCAATAACACTCAAGAAAAATGACACTATCCAAGACAGAGCAACGCACTTGTTTGGCACCACATCCACAAACACCCATTCCTCCACCACCAAACGCTCAGTAGTAACAATGTGTGCTATATACAAGATGTAATGCAGAAATTCACCAAAGATCCTGAGGCAGCACCTTCCAAGCCATGACCACTTCCACATAGAAGGACAAGGGCAGTAATTACAAGGGAACACTGACACCTGCAAGTTCCCCTTCAAGCCACTCATCATCCTGACTTAGAAATACATTAGGTTGTTGACTTGCTTGCCAAGTTGACTTGTTTTTGTTCAGACATTTCGTCACCATGCTAGGTGACATTATCAGTGGAGCCTCGATGAAGCGATGTTATTCTACTCTGTTTGGAATTTATACTGTCTGGTCCGTTATGGTGAGTACTGTCATTTCCAGTTTTGATCTGTATGGGTTTGTATATGGGGTCCAATTCGATATGTTTGTTGATTGAAGCATGGGTGGAGAACCATTCCTGTGCGTGTCTATGTTTGGCTTGGGCTACTATGATTACCTTGTCCCAGTTAAACTGATGGCCTTCATTGTCTGAATGTACAGATATTGAGGAGAGTTTGTCGTGCCGTTTTGCTGCTAGCTGATGTTCATGTATTTTGATGGCTAGTTTCCTTCCTGTCTGTCCAATGTAATGTTTGTAGCAGTCGTTGCATGGTATTTTGTAAACCACATTCATTCTGTATGTTGTGGGAATGGAGTCTTTAATCCTTGTAAGTGTTTGTCATAGAGTGGCTGTGGGCTTGTGGCCCACCATGATTCCTAATGGTCTTAGGAGTCTTGGTGTCAGTTCCGATATGTTGTTGATGTAGGGTAGTGTGGTCAGTGCATTAGGTCATACTGTGTCCTCCTGTTGTTGTCTGTTTTGTAGGCATCTGTGGATGAAGTTGCGGGGATATCCGTTTAAAGCGAGGATCTTGTTTCAGTGTTCTTCCTCTTCCCTGCGTAGTTCTGGAGTGTTGCAGTGTGTCCTGGCCCGTTTAAATAGTGTCCTAATGTTTGTGGACGTTGGGGTGGTTGCTGTGGAAGTTGAGGATTTGATCTGTATGGGTTGCTTTTCTGTATACTGAGGTTTGGAACTCCCCGTTTGTCAATTGCTCTACTTTAACATCCAGAAATGGAAGTTGATTGTTGTTTTCTTCTTCCCTTGTGAATTCAATCCCTGTGAATACGCAGTTGATTAGATGGTGGGTCTCTTCTAATTTGTTGCGTTTAATAATGACAAACGTGTCATCTATGTACTGGATCCACAATTTAGGTTGAATGTGGGGGAGGGTGGTGTGTTCTAGTCTTTGCATGACTGCTTCTGTGATGAGTCCTGAAATGGGTGATCCCATTGGTGTACCATTAATCTGTTTGTATATCTGACAATTAAAGACAAAGTATGTGGTGAGGCAGAGGTCTAGTAATTTAACTATGTTGTCCTTGCTGATGGAGCTGCTGGTCTGAGTTACTGTTTCCTCTAGGAATGTGGTCACTGTTTCTTTGCCTAATGTGATGTCGATTGATGAGAATAAAGCTGTAACGTCAAAGGATACCATAATCTCGCTGATTTTTATGTTCTTAAGGGCATCGAGGAAATCTTGGGTTGAGTAGATGGAATGGGCTGATCCGCCTACTATGTGTTTCAATCTCTGTTGTAGGTCCTTGGCCAATTTGTGTTACGGTGTGCCTGGTAGGGAAACAATGGGTCTGAGAAGGATGTCTGGTTTATGTACTTTAGGCAGTCCATAGAAGTGGGGGATGTTTGTGCCCTCTGGTTTCATTCTCATGAAGTCTGTCTTGGTTACCTGCCCTGCATTGTTGAGTCACTTCACTATCTGAGTGATCCTATTACCTCGCTGCGGTGTGGGGTCTATCGCCACCTGTTGGTAAGTGGTTGTATCTGCAAGCAATGTCTGTTCTTTCTTAACGTAGTCTGGTTTGTTCACAATGATAGTCATGCGCCCTTTGCCTGCTGGTTGGATTATGATGTTCTCCATAATATTGGTACATTCAGACAATGAAGGCCATCAATTTAATTGGGACAAGGTAACCACAGTAGCCCAAGCCAAACATAGACACGCATGGGAATTCCCAGAGGCATTGTTCTCCACTCATACTTCAATCAACAAACACACAGAATTGGGCCCCACATACAAACCCATACAGATCAAAACCGGAAATGACAGTACTCACTGTAACTGACCGGACAGTATAAATTCCAAACGGAATAGAATAACATCGCTTCATTGGAGGCTCCACTGATGATGTCACCTAGCATGGTGACGAAACGTCTGAACAAAAACAAGCCAACTCAGCGAGCAAGTCAACAACCTCATCCACAACCCAAGCTACAGATCTTTGCCAAAATTATTTTGGAAATATATTGCTATTCCTTCACTGTACCAGGGTCAAAATCCTCAAATTCCATCCATAAGGGCAATGTAGGTTTACCTACAGCATATGGACTGCAGTGGTTCAAGAAGGCAGCTCATCATCAACTTCCTAAGGGCAACCAGGCACAGCAATAAATTGTGGCCAGCCAGTGACACCACATCCCATGAGTGAATAAATAAATAAAGAGCCTCACTTCCCCTTCCCCAAATGGGGTGGTGAGTCCAGAGGTACAGATTAGCTTGGAAGCTACGAGACATTATTGCGCTGGTATGCAGAATCAGCATGGAGAATAAGAGGGTCCATGAAATGTAAGTGGAGGGTATGAGGTAGCATGGGGAGTGTGGGGCAGAGGTGAGGGAATAGGTGGGCTGAGTGCTAGGTTTTTCTTTTCTGTTGCTATCTTTGACAATGAAGCAGTGCATTGAGGCAGGCATTCATACAGCTCACTTTCACACCTGGAGATTCGCAACCAATTCTGGATTTTGTCACCATGACTTGCCTTTTCAACTGCCACCACTACACCCCCTTAAAAAAAAAGGCATTTTCTGTCATGTCGGTTTTCCAAGTAATAATTGGGAGTGAAATGCAAGTAATAATTCAGGTTTGTTGGTTTGAAGAAAAGTCAACAACTTGAAATATTACCACTACCCTTTCCTTCACAGATGCTTTTTGATGTGTTGAGCATTTCCACAAATTGCTATTTTTATTTCAGGTTTCCAAAAACTGCAGCATTTTGCTTTTATACTCTATTTTGGCCAATGGTTCCTGCTGTCAGAGTCTGTAGACTGCACTTCAGGTCTGTAAGTAGAGAGGCATGGCTCATGTAGATTTATTCCAGTCAACCTTGAACATTAGTATTAAGTCAATGTCAATTATCACTAGATTTAAATTAAGATACTTTTCTGTCGGATGAATTCTAATCCATATCTACATGAATCTTACCATCTGTTTTGATTTTCAAAGCTGTTCTCACCAAGGCAAAAAGGGTTGCATTGAACATTACCGTTCCATCACTATTCAGGGGCATATTCATAGCTACCAATCTCTGGAAATTAAAGAAAATGGGCAAATTTTAGTTTTACAGCATGAAAGACGTCACCATTTTACTTTACCTCCTGTTTAGGTAAGAATTAGAACAAAAATATTAACAATTGAGCAGGCAAAGTTTCTGGTTTTCTGAATCTCTGCTTTCACTACAGTTGAAGGCAGCGAGTTCCAGGTTATTACCATGCACTGAGCAAACTTTTTCCTCATGGCCGCTTGCATCTCTTCCTCAAAATAATAAATCACCTTATTATTGTACCATGAAATTATTGGTGCAGCTTTTCTCCATCCACATTTTCCCACATTATATTCTATCTGTGAAGTTTTTCCTCACACTCTTAACCTGTCTATATTCCCCATAGACTCTGTCACCCTCATGACTTACGTTCCCTTAAATCTTTGCCATTCGCAAACTTGTCGATTGTATATTCGCTTCCCTTATCTAAGTCATTAATACATATATTGTTAATAATTGTGCCTTGGTACTGATCCCTGTGGCACTCCATGAGTTACAAGTTGTCATCCTGAAAATGTCCCTTTTAACCCAACTCTTTGCTTTTTGTTAGTTAGCCAATCCTCTATCCTTAATTAATATACAACTCCCAACATCCATGGACTTCTAACTTATTAAGTAGCCTTATGTGTAGTATATTATCAAATGCCTTTTAGAAATACAAATATATCACATCTACTGGTTCTCCTTTATCCATTCCACTTGTTACCTCTTCAAAAACATTGTAATAAATTCAACAGGCATGATTTCCCCTTCATGAAGCTATGCTATGTCTGTTTGATCATGGTGCATTTTTAAAAAATGTTCTACTACTGCATCCTTTACAACAGACACTAATGTTTTCCCAATGACAAATATTAAGCTAGTTGACTTATAGTGAGCCGATTTTTTTTTTTTGCCTCCCTCCCCTTGTGAATAGACAAGTTACATTGGCAGTTTAGGAATTTCTCCAAAATCTAGGGATTCTTGGAAGATTATTAACAGGTATTCTACTATTTACAGGCAACAGCTGAGTGGTACTATCATTGGACTGTTAATCCAAAGACCTACGTAATGTTCTGGACACCCAGGTTCTAAGCCCGCCACGGCAGATGGCAAAATTTGAATTCAATTTTTAAAAATCTGGAATTAAGAGTTTCATGATGACCATGAATGACCTCTGCCATTTCCAATTTATTATTTCCCCAGGGTTTTTTTAAAAGCAGCTATGTTCACTTTGGCCTCTCGCTTCCTTTTTATATATTTAAATAAGCTCTTACTGTCTGTTTTTACATTACTTGCTGGTTGCCCTCATAGTTCACATTCGCCTTTTTCTTGGTCATCTTTTGTTCATTTCAACATTTTCTCAATTTTCTCATCACTAATCTTTGCCACTTGTATGATCTTCTTTCAATTTGATGTTATCCCTAACTTTCTTAGTTAACCATGGTCAACTTATCCTCTTCCTAGAATCCTTCTTCCTCAACTTTTGCAGCTGGTAAAAATTAAACATAATTAATAAATCTAGAATTGAAAGCTAATCTCAGTAGTGAGACCATGAGCTTGTCAACTGTTGAAAAAACCCATCCGGTTCACTAATGCCCTTTCTGGAAGTAAATCTGCCATCCTTACCCAGTCTGGTCTATACGTGACTCCAGACCCATGGGAATATGGTTGCCTGTTAACTGCCCATTGAAATAGTCTAGCAAACCACCCAGTTCAAAGCTAATCAGGGATGGGTGATGAATACGGCCTTGCCAGCAACACCCACACCCCATTAAATAATAAATAAAAACAAATTTTGATAAATCTCCTGTGCCTCTCTCAAAGACTCTCACATCCTTCCTAAAATGTGGCAACCAGAATTGCACACAATATTCTAGATGTGGTCTCACCACAAATGTTCATCATATTAAAAATGTTCAACAGAATTGCCCTAATGACTTCCCCGATTTATGAAGCCCAGGATTCCATACTGTGTTAATTTCTCTCAATGTGTTTAAAATCAGCCATTTGTCTGCTCATTCTTATATGTGTCTGTTTTTTTGCAGTCCATTAGGATCAATTTCATTATAAGAATATTTTGGGATGATGAACAGAAAATTTTACTCTGAATTCCAGTACGCAAGTCATTGCAAAGCAGTGGCCCGAACACTTAAGAGCACCACTGTCTACATTCTCCAGTATGAAAAACAAACATTTACCGCGGTTGTATTTTCTGTTCTAAAAACAATATTTTATCCAAGTTGACAGTGACAATCCTAATTTGTTAAACTGCCTTTGTGGTAATTCATCATATATTTCTTGAAATCCATATAGACAATATGGATTCACCTCATTAAACTTTTCCGTTACTTCATTACTTCATCAAAAAACTGAATTAGATTAGTCAGGCATGATCTGCATATTACAAATCTGCACCAGTCTTCATCAATTAAGTCAATCCTCTCCAAATGCCTGTTAATTTTTGCTTGATTACCGTTTCTAAAATCTTACAACTGAAGTTAAACTAACTTGCCCAGGCATCTATTTTTGGGTAAGGATGTCACATTTACCATTCTACAATCGTCTAACAGTCCCCTCATAACAAAGCAAGCTTGGAAGATTACAGAAAGTCCTTTTGCAATCTCTATCCCCACTTCCTCCAGTCACCTACGATGTAACCATCCTAAGTATGGACAGCTTTTCTAAATATAAATTGTCCATCAATTTTCACCCCTCCATAACCTCTTCTACCAATATTTTGTCAGCATCCTCTCCCTAAAGAAACAGGTACCGACCCTGGCTCTGTGGCTCAGAAGAGAAGGGGGGAGAATAGGAGAGCGATAGTGATAGGACATTCAATGGTTAGGGGAACAGACAGGAGATTCTGTGGTACTGAGTGAGACTCCCGGGTGGTATGTTGTCTCCCGGGTGCCAGGATCAGGGATGTCTCGGATCGAGTCTACAGGATTTCTAAAGGGGAGGGTGAGCAGCCACAAGTCGTGGTACACATTGGTACCAATGACATAGCTAGGAAGAGGGATGAGGACCTGAAAAGTGAATATAGGGGGTTACGATGGAAGCTAAAAGCCAGGATGAGCAGAGTAGTAATCTCAGGATTACTACCGGTGCCACGGGCTAGTGAGGCCAGGAATAGATAGCGAGTGCAACTGAACATGTGGCTACAGAGCTGGTGGAGGAGGGAGGGCTTCAAGTATGTGGATCATTGCAATACCTTCTGGGGAAGGTGGGACCTGTACAGGAAGGACGGGTTGCACCTGAACTGGACGGGCACCAATATCCTGGGCGGGAGGTTTGCTACAGCTCTTTGTGAGGGTTTAAACCAGTCTGGCAGGGGGATGGGAACCAGAGCTACGGATCAGAGGATAGGGTAGCCGATGTACAGGCAGATACAGCATGCAGAGAGTCTGTGAGGAAGGACAGACAGTTTACAGGGCAAAGTTGCAGTCAGTGCGATGGGTAAAGTGTGTCTATTTTAACGCAAGAAGTATCAGGAATAAGGGCGACAAACTTAGAGCATGGATCAGTACTTGGAGCTGCAATGTTGTGGCCATTACGGAAACTTGGATAACACAGGGGCAGGAATGGTTGTTGTGTGTTCTGGGGTATAGATATTTCAAAAGAAATAGGGACAGAGGTAAAAGAGGTGGGGGAGTGGCATTGCTAATCAGGGATGGTCGTCGAGAAGTGTTTGTCTACCAAGTCAGTATGGGTGGAAGTTAGAAACAGGAAAGGAGCAGTCACTTTATTAGGAGTTTTCTATAGACCCCCCAACAGCAAAAGAGACACTGAGGAACAGATTGGGAGGCAGATTGTGGAAAGGTGCCAAAATAATAGGGTTGTTGTCATGGGTGACTTCAACTTTCCTAATACTGACTGGAACCTCCTTAGTGCAAATAGTTTGGATGGAGCAGATTTTGTCAGGTGTGTCCAGGAAGGATTCCTGACTCAAAATGTAGATAGGACGACTAGAGGGGAGGCCATATTAGATTTGATGCTTGGCAATGAACTAGGCCAGGTGTCAGATCTCTTGGTGGGAGAGCATTTCAGTGATAGTGATCACAACTCCCTGACCTTTACTACAGTCATGGAGAGGGATAGCAGCAAACTGTATGGGAAAGTATTTAATTGGGGGAGGGAGATTTACAATGCTATTAGGCAAGAACTGCAGAGTGTAAATCGGGAACAGATGTTCTCAGGGAAATGCACGGCAGAAATGTGGAGGTTGTTTTGGGAGCAGTTGCTACAAGTACTGGATAGATTTGTCCCACTGAGGCAAGGAAGGGATGGTAAGGTGAAGGAACCTTGGATAACAAGACATGTGGAACAGCTAGTCAAGAGGAAGAAGGAAGCTGACTGAAGGTTGAGGAAGCAGGGATCGGACGATGAAATTAGCCCTTTACTAATTTAGAAGTCCTGCTTTGGATTGCTCCTTACTCTTTTCCATTGCTTCTGCAAATTTTATGACTCAATGGTCAGTCTTACTAAGTGTTCGATCCACAGACACTTGGTCTACTTGGCTCACGTCATTCCCTAGCATTAGATCTAGCGATGCCTTCTTCCTAGTTAGATCAAGAACGTACTGGCCAAGGACATTCACTTGTTCACATTTCAGAAATTCCTCCCACCTCTTTCTCCTTATTCAAATTATCCCAATCAATATTCAAGGTAATTAAACTTCCCCATTATCAACACACTTTGGTTCTTGCACATCATTATGATCCCTCCAGATATGATCCTCAATCTCACTCACATTATTCGGAGGCCTGTCGAAAATCCCCAATGATTGTAGTTTTCTTGCTTTTCAATTCTAAACTAAAAGGATTCCACCCTTCATCCCTCAAGGAGAACCTCTCTTTCCAATACTGCAATGTCTTTTGAATTTGTAATGTCACCATCAGCAGAATGATCTACATTAAAAATGAATTAAGATCTGAAATTAAAAAATAAGCCTATGCCTCCTATAAATGAAATTATGGCTGATTTTCAATCTCTACTCCAATTTTCCTCCTGTCCTTCATATCCCCAATATATATTAATGATTTGGATGAGGGAACAAAATGCAACATCTCCAAATTTGCAGATGATACCAAGCTGGGTGGGAGGGTGAAGTGTGACAAGGATGCAGAGATCCTTCAGCATGATCTCGACAGGTTGAGTGAGTGGGTAAATCAATGGCAGATGCAGTATAATTTGGATAAATGAGGTTATTCACTTTGGAAGCAAAAACAAGATAACAGATTACTACCTGAATGGCTGTAAATTGGGAGAGGGAAGTGTGCAGTGGGACCTAGGCATCCTTGTGCACCAGTTGCTGAAGGTAAGCATGTAGGTGCAGCAGGCGGTAAAGAAGGCAAATGGTATGTTGGCCTTCATTGCGAGAGGTTTATAGTACAGGAGCAGGGATGTGTTGTTGCAGTTGTACAGGGCCTTAGTAAGGTCACACCTGGAATATGGTGCACAGTTTTGGTCTCCTTTTCTGAAAAAGGATGCTCTTGCTCTCAAGGGAGTACAGTGAGGTTTACCAAGCTGATTCTGGGGATGGCAGGTTTGACGTATGAGGAGAGATTGACTAGGTTAGGATTGTTTTTGCTGGAGTTCAGACGAATGAGGGGTATCTCATAGAGGCTTATAAAATTCTAATAGGACCAGACAGGATAGATGCAGGGAGGATGTTCCTGATGGTGGGTGTGTCCAGAACCAGGGGTTACAGTCTGAGGATTCAGGGTAAACAGTTTAGGATGGAGATGAGGAGGCATTTCTTCACCCAAAAAGAGTGGTGAGCCTGTGGAATTCATTACCACAGGGAGTAGTTGATGCCAAAACATTGAAAGTATTCAAGAGGCGACTAGATATAGCACTTGGGGCGAACAGGATCAAAGGTTATGGGGAGAAAGCAGGATTAGGCTATTAAATTGGATGATTAGCCATGATCGTGAAGAATGGCAGAGCAGGCTTGAAGGGCTCCTATCTTCTACGTTTCTATGTTTCTATCCCTCGATTCCCTTTGAATCCAAATATCTAGCAAGCTCAGCCTTAAATGCATTGAACGACTACATTGAACAGTCTACTGGGGTAGAGAATTCCAAAGATTCATAACTATCCGCAATTAGAAATTTCTCCTCATCTCAAATTTTAAATGATGGACTCCTTTCTTGTTCTAGATTCTCAAGCTAGCAGCCTCTCACCATCTAACCTCTCAAAATCCTATGTTTCAATGAAATTATTTCTATGTCTTCTAAACTGTATCGGTTCAATCCATTCAATATCTCTTCACAGGGAGAATTTTTTTTCCATGATTCAATCTGGTGAATTTTCCTTTTACAAGACAATTACCTTCTTTGATGCCAACACCTGCACATTACTGAAAATGTTATTTAGCTAAGCATCCTAAATTGTAGAACATTTTCTTTATCTTGTGTCCCATCTCTTGTGACAAAGACCAATGTACTAATTTCTTAATTGCTTCATGTACCTACATTTTTTTATATTGCTGAACCTGCATATTGATATAAAATAAACAAAGATCTGCAGATGCTGGATATTAATGCTTTTAATGTTTTTGGTTCATTTACAAAGATATCAAAAATGAAACAAGGTATAGTTTCCCATCAATAAAATAAAACCTGTTTATCTCTTCTTCCTATCAGAATGAATAACTTTACATTTCTTTAATCTATTGATAAGAAATGGACTGATTGTCTCCTTAACCTTGCATTAATGATATTCCACTTCACATCTTTATATCAGGTTTTGAAGTCCTGAGCAGTACAGTAAGAATTACTGAAATTTCCTTCATGTTAATGGAAGATAATTCTAAATCAAAAAGTAGATTTTTCAAAAACTAAACCTTTTATTTAACAATACAACAGCAATCCAACTCTCCAAAGCCAGGCATATCAAAATGCTAATACCTATGTGACTGGCTAGCACAATTTGTAATTGTGTCACAAGAAATCTTCAGAAGATTGTGAAGTTTCATGGAGATGTTTGTTTATTTTCTGCTTACAGAATATTTATATAATTTTCAGGAACTATGATTCTCTAACAATCTGGGCAAGAACAACGGTGATATTTATGAGCCTTCAGTTGAGTATTCCTAAATATGTTAGTTGCTATCAGTAATATATAATACTGATGCATTTTGAGTATCAACCAGCTTGTATCGCAGATGTAAACAGATTAAATAAGTTGCAATGTCCTGGATCACGATAATTATCAGATTGCTTAGTTTCTGCAAGTACAGTCCTCAGGAATGTCAGGTTATCTGTGTGGCTGATCAATCAGATTTTTTAGTTTATAAGCTTCCTTACCTTGCATGCGACTCTATGAGGACAAAGTTTTCCAAAGCCCAGTGGTGGCTGAATACGTCGAAGTAAAGTAACTACATCAAGATGTTTTATTCTCCCTCTGTGAAAAATTGAGTTTTTAAAATCATTATAAAATAGTCAGAGCAGTATGATAATGAAACCTATGATAATTATCCTTATTCATTCACTAGGTAATAATTTGATTCAGCATTAAATTCCATTTTCTATCTCGTCTGATATCAGCTGATGTTATTAGGAGACAAGGTCAGATCCCAGTAAAAAATTGATACGTAACTTTTTTTGGTGGTCTTTCACTGAAACATAACACACACACGGTTGCTGTTTTAGTTTTAACAGCAAGTTTATGACACAAAAGAAATAAAAACAAAACCAAATAAAATAAACCAAACTATTTACATATAACACAGTTTGGCAGATTTTCAGAAAACATGGCTGAACAAAATCCCATCTATTCCCTAACGCTATCACTTTACAGCTAATCAAAAATCTGGTGAAATTCCTTCCCTATCAAATATATATGTTTGACATAACTGCTCCTTCTCAGTTCCAGCCTTGTAAATAATGTGAACTTTTCCCTTGACCACTCACACAACTGCCAGCTTAGATTTCTCAGTCTTTTAATAATCTGTAAACAATCTTAAAGATTGCCTTAAAGTAAGAAAAGTGAGGGAGGCAGTGAGATACAAGAGCTTCATGTTGATTACAGGAGCATCCAGAGATGTATGCTACTTCGCACCTGAAAAAAAAAATGCTATGCAGCCTTGCCTACACATTACTTGAATGTGCGCATGAAAATAATTGAACACAGTAGTATAGGAACTTCCCAAATGCTACTACCCTTACAGAAAATTCTATGTAAACAGGACACTCATAATTAAGTTGTGCAAATAACTTGAATGAAGTGAAACAGTAGTCTGGCAAATATATTGGAAATGAAGTACACATGAACCAGAAATTGTTACGTTTAGCACGCTTGCTTTCATTGCTCAGACCTTTGAGTATAGGAAAAGCTCAGCAGGTCTGGCAGCATCTGTGAAGAAAAAAAATCAGAGTTAACTCTGAGTTCTGAGGAAACATCAACAGATTTTTTTCTTCACAGATACTGCTAGACTTGCTGAGCTTTTCCAGCAACTTCTGTTTTTGTTCCTGATTTACAGCATCGGTTCTTTCGGTTTTTCTTTGAGTGTAGGAGTTGGGGTGTCATATTGAGGTTGTACAGGACATTAGTGAGGCCTCTTCTGGAGTACAGTGTGCAGTTCTGGTCACCGTTATGGAAAGGATATTGTCAAACTGGAGAGGGTTCAGAAGAGATTTACCAGGATATGGACTGGGAATGGAAGGTTTGAGATATAAAAGTAGGCTAGAAAGGCTGGGACTTTTTTCACTGGAGAGTAGGAGGTTGAGGGATGACCTTATTGAGGTTTATAAAATTATGAGGGGCATAGATAAGGTGAATGACAAGGGTCTTAGTGGTGGTGGAGTTCAAAACAAGGGGGCATATTTTTTAAGGTGAGAGGATAAAGATTTAAAAAGGATGTGTGGGGCAACTTTTTTTTTTGTTTTTTTTACACAGTGTGGTTCATGTGTGGGATAAACTGGCAGAGAATGTGGTGGATGCCAGTACAGTTACAAAGTTTAAAAGACATTTGGATGATATGAGCCAAGCACAGGCAGGTGGGATTAGTTTAGTTTGGGAACATGGTCAGTGTAGACTAGTAGAACCGAAGGGTCTGTTTCCATGCTGTATGACTCTAAGTAAATGCATTAGAGTTTAGTATGCAATTTGTTAATAACATATTATGCTTTTCCTTCATATGTCATGGGATCATTTATCCCATATATTTTAAAAGTAAAACAAATTATTTGGACATGGGTCAAGTTAGCAAGGTTGGCATTCATTACCCATCCATAGTTTCCCAGAGAATGTGATGATGGGTTTTCCTCTTGAACTGGTGCAGATGGCATAGCAATTCACTGACAGTGAACTGGAGGTCCTGGTCAAGAGGGTGGTGCAAAGGAGGAGTATCCTCTTACTGGAGGACCAGCTGAGAAGGCCACGCTACAAGACCTTGACAGCCTACTTTATGAAGAGATGTTTTGGGGTTAATGGAATTATACCTTTAGAGTATACTTTAAAATCATTGAATTTATTTTATGAGTGGATAGTTTGGTTTTTTCTATTCTATCTTCAATTTTTTTGTTAGTGGCATTCTGTTTCATGATTAGAACCAATTTTGCAGTATTGTATTTCAGTGAGAGATCACTTCTTCAAAAACAAGACAACACAAAATATGATCTAACAAGCCAGGTTTCAGTCTGGGATCTGACTTGTCCAGTAATAACATCAGTTGGAATCATAACATCTGCAACATCCTCCTTTACTCACTCTCACCCACCACCCTTTCTCAACCCCCAATCTCCATCTTCAAAACACATGCTGCCTACTCACTCCCTCCGAATGCTCACCACCTTTCCCCCACTTACACCAGCACCAACACCTGTCTCACAGTCATGCACTTTCACCTCACTCAATTCCTCCCTTTATCTTATTCCAAGTGAGAAAAGCCCACAATATTGCCAGAAGGGCCTGTGTGGGTAGACTGCTGCCAGACATTCAACTCCCCAGCCCCTATGAGGAGATAATCTTGGCTCTCACAGGAGAAGATTGGGACCACTCCTGCAGGGTTGCAAAGAATTCCATATCCTGCTAATCGAGTTACGAACCATTTTTCAATCATAGCAACTCTCCTATTAATCCTGCTGAGTCTCATTCATTCCATGCCACTTCTAACCAATGGGTACAACAATTTCTTTTCTGTCTTCCAGTTACAGCCATCATGTCTCCACCACCGAGGTGCAATGGCTGACTCCATTAGAACCTACCTCCCTGTCTCAGAGGACGAGAGTACTGATCCTCAAAGAAAGCATCAGGGCAAGTCTGCCTCCTACACCTCTCACTAGTTCAGATCCTGACATATTGATAGGAACTTTAGCCCTAGAAAGTTTGGGAGCAAACTCTGGTCACCACCTCACTGCAACTGCTTCGCAGCTGGGTGGGGAAGTAACACTCCAGGCTGTTGGTACTCAGAGGACTGCTGGAGACCAGGCACCTGCTCAGCTTCGGATAGGAGAGGACCCAGTGATCTCATCATTCAGGGATTTCATCAGAATGGACTGAGTAGAAGAGGAGCAACAGACAGGAATGTGGGAGGCAATGGCCTTCATTATGCAAATTGTTTGGCTGCCTCCAAGGACAGATTGATGGCGGCCATGGATAGTCAGGTCCAGCACCTTTAGCGTCTGCTGGAGAGGCACACTCATTGACATTCCATCACCTCAACCATTGGTCCTCAGGACCAAAGACATGGACACAGGAATATGGAGAACATGGCGAAAATTCCAATGCCCTTCCTTCACAATGGGGCAAGGCAGTGCCAGGGAGTGGGGCAGTGCCAAGAGGTACCTTGCTGGAGGAGGAACCATGCATAGGATCCTCAGAGGTCTCCCCTCAGAATACTGCAGAGATGGCTGGTCCATCCACCACCATTGTTGTAGCACGTTGCCATACAGTAAAATGTATGCCTCTTGATTTTGGGCTGCTACCAGGAACTCAAGCTGCCTGATTATGTGACTATGCTAATTAGCATGACAAGGTAAGGCAAGGCATGGACGGTTTCAGTATGCAGGTAGACATGAAATGACTGAGTGCTAAGAAAGCAAGTGTGCAGCCTTGAGATGCAGCCTGGTCTAATCAGTGAGTTAGTAGTTCTCCATGCGCACACAGTGTTCTTGCTGGTATACTTGGCAGTGTACCCTGCAATGCGAATCTGCACTTTTAAATATCCTGCAAGTGAATTAGAGGGATGATAATGACAACTTGGCAAATGTCAGATCCCAATGTCCATGGATGAGGGATGCATGTGGCTTGTAGCCATGGATTATACCCTGAGACGCCACTTGGTGTTGAAGAATGAGGAGACTGGTCACAACCAGCAACAAGCTGAAGTCACCAGGTACTCACTCTGATTTCCACATTGAGAATTCTCGACATCTAGCTTGCTCAGAGTGTGACATAACATTGGAAACTGTGTATTAGTTGAGGCATTAATAAGGTGATTAACAATCTACACAGCCCATTAATTGGCAACATGCCACGGCCTAGCAAGAAATTTGCTGCTTGCAAAAATACATAAAAGATGCAATGAGGTGCTCCCAACATTGAGATAACCCTCGTAGGGCCCCTCGTCTGATTTTGCCACAAATCTCGTCATAGCTCACCCCTCCAAGATTCTACCCTCCAAATTTCTTTCCCTTAATGAATCACAAGAGTTTTTAACAATATAACTATATGATTTTAACTATATATAATTATTTATAACTATATATAATTATATATAACACTTTTACTAATACCCCAGCTTTTATTTCCAAATTTTAAGAAATTACTTTGAATTTCAAATGGTCATGGATTGTTTGAACTCCCTTTCACAGATTACTACTCCAGTCAGATAACCACAACACATTGTGAAATATTAACATTAAAAAACCTTTGGATTTTTCACTTGCAATGTATCAGGGTAATTTTACGAATTTGGACTTCTATCATATATTGTCATTTGTCAGCAATTTGAGTAAATCACCATTAATTTAATGGATGGAGAAACACTGCAGCATATTTTGGAGTTGGTAAAATGCACCTCATTGATGAGATGCAGAGAACAAACATTTGTTAAATTACACTTAGGTTGTTTTGTTCCACAGAAAACTGCAGCCAAGCAAGTTAGGATAGTCATAACATTTAAAACTAACTGCAAAGCAGAATTACATCAAATTTACTTACTTTGCTTCTGGATCATATTCAGACCATATTCTTTTAAATTCTTCCAAATGATGAGGACCCAGAATGGACCAATCGCGTGTTAAATAATCAAAGTTGTCCATGATAACAGCCACAAATAAGTTTATAATCTGAAATGTAAAGATGGAGAAATTTATTTGGCCCTTTGGGAATACTTGTCTCAGTAAATTCTTGACTTCTGTGTTGAATTTATATACAAAGGTGAAATCTTACTATTCACTGGTGAAATTGTTTTTCTGGTTGCAATGCTGTATTGACATTGCAGAAACAGCAATTCGTGGGAAACACAGAGGCATATTCACTTATGACACTTCTGTGATTCTGGTAGATTTGGAATAGATTTTCACATCAGTTTCGCCCAATAAAATGTAAATTGAGCAAGGCTGTTTGTAAAATTTCAGCCAGCCCACACACCTGCCACTGACGTTGTATTCAGAAGGAGCAAAACAGAATTAAGTGTATATTCATTACATAGTGTCACCAAAAGGAAACACCATGAAAGCTAACAATAAGCACTCACACATTTCACATACATTGACATTAAAAACTTTAGAAGCTGGAGCCTTCTGCAGAGAATGTACTTGTAAAGGTTGAAGGGTTACTTCATTGGATGGCAAAAATGAGATACAAGTTGTTAAAAGACACATGGTACTGCAGGTAATGTTAACAGAACAGTAAATGCAGTGGTTAGATTCCCAAACTAAAAACAAGTATTGAAGCTTGTCAAATGCGTCGTGCTCCTGTCAGCAAGTTCTGCTTTGAAGCCTCTTCGTTATTCTCCTGTTTCTCTTCATAGATCTATAATGTGCCATGGGAGGTTCTTCTTCCAGGGCCACAAAGATGATGCCTCTTTGTAGAAATCCAGCCTGTGGCAGAATCCTGAACCTCCAGGTAGATGAAGTCAACAGATGCCATTCAACAGTCTCTATCAACATTAGTGACATATCATGCACAAGAGTAATGGAAGCGTCTGCTCGAACCCTGTTGCCTCCTATATTATTGAGTTTTGTTGTATGTCATAGAATCCCTACAGTTTGGAAACAGGCCCTTCAACCCAACAAGTCCACACCCACCCTCAGAACATCCCCCCGAAGACCCATCCCCCTAAACTACACATCCCTACACAACACTATGAGCAATTTACCATGGCCAATCCATGTAGCCTGCACATCTTTGGACTGTGGGAGGATACCGGAGCACCTGAAGGAAACCCACGCGGACACAGAGAGAATGTGCAAACTCCACACAGGCAGTTGCCCGAGGGTGGAATTGAACCCGGGACCCTGGCACTGTGAGGCAGCAGTGCTAAACACTGAGCCACTGTGCCGCCCAAAGAGATATATATAGATCTGAAAGGGTGAATACTGAAGAGGGTAATAAATATCATCAACTATGATTACACAAATCCATATGATGTCTCGAAAAGCTTTAAATCTTAAAGAAGTGATGCCTAACATGTAGCCCCCTCAAAATCTGTGTTTCATTTCAATATAACTTGAAACTGGTTGCTAAAATGCAATAAATTTTTTAATGATGTAGTATTCAGTTAATTAGACCAGGAAGTGCTTTTTCTCTGTGATACAAGACCAAGACCAAGTTCCTATCTGGAACCCAATCTGTCCAAGCTTTATCAAATGTACAACCCTTCCAAAGTATCCCCAGATGTATTACACCTGGAGCGCACGAGAGGACTACAATTGTCAACTCTGAAAGAACTCTCATGGAAAAGTACATATATTCTGTAAATGACTGTCATAGTTTTAATAGAAACTCATCCTTGTAAAGCCCAGTACTTTAAAAGGGCAATAGTTATCAAAGCAGTTAAAGATGAAAAAGTGCTGTAAGGAGATGCACTTAAAATGCAAAGATTTGGCAAGGAAAACTAGTTTAAACAGGTTAACAAGAATTACAGAAGCAAAAGAAAAAAATCAAATGCATAAAAAATTCTTTAGTGATAATAAAAGTGTTTTGAAATACATAGTATTAAAAGGAGAAAAGAAACTAAGCCTAGAAATTATATGGTATGTGATCGTTTTTTTGCAACTAAAGGGATATTTCGGCTTTCAAAATGTTGTACAGGGTTCATACACTTATTATTGAACAAGAATTGTGCCTGAAACAGGTGCTAGTCCCTTAGCATAGCAATGTAAAGGGTCAAATGGCTATCTCATGCCTCTTGCATAAGGCTGCTACTAAGAAGGGGTGTTTAAAACAAAATGTTTAACTGAATGTGGAGCTACAAGGTGCATATGAGCTCCTCCTCAGTCCACATTCAAAGGATGTGGGCCATTGTCAACTTAGCCCTAAAAATGTGGCCCGGCGTCCATTGATGTTTATCCATTCAGATTGTTTTATGTTCCTGCCCTATTATTTCTTTTAATAATGATTAAGAAAGCTGATAACATCAGATAGAGCTGGCACAGCAGAAGGGGAGGGTAATCAATTATGTAAGTGGGATGCAATCTCTATAAACAGCAGTAAGGTGGAGGGGGGTATACAGCATCTAAATTGGAACACAACAGTCTTCTAAAATTAGACCTATTCTTGAAATAGATGATGCATTCAGTCTAGATAATATACATTTTTTATGAGTCCTTAAAAGGAAGAATTATGAATAAAACAAATCTCTGACGAACATCAGAGATTTAAATGTCAATGCATTTAAAAAGTATGACTGGAACTGAACAAAGAAAAACAAAATCCAGAGTTGGAATATAGTTAACCTGCATTTACAAAAAGGAGATTTACAAAATTATTTCCAACAACAGGAAGAGGGCACAGCAGCTTGTAGATAATAAGACTAATGCTAAATCCAAACATGCAAGTTTATACAAAGGATAATATGTAAATGGTACAGGTTATCAGAAAAGATCATTGACGGAAACAGAAAACCCATTTTGTTAAGATTCTGTGCAAAAAATTGAATTCAATAAAGTAGTGACAAAAAAGAAAGGCAGCTTTCAGAATAAAATCACGAGAACAACTTCACTGAGTGAAATGCCTTTTCCTGTCTGAAAATTTCTTGTTTCTAATCTCTGGTATAGTTCATTTAAAATGATAGGAAGAACATTTATTTAAGTTGCTCACCAAATTTTTCCATCAATATTTTTCCCTCCTCACTGGGGATAACTTTCTATTCTGACAAGAAAAGTGGATTTCCATGCACTGAGCACAGGAAGCTGTCAATATTAGCTTTCAACCACAGCATTTACTTCAGGAAATGGCCCTTGTACAGGCTGATCTGACACTTGATAGGAATTGACTGGACTTGGAACCCAAGATTTTAACTTGAAATTAACACAGATGCATTTTCTGAGTTTCCTGGAACTGGCAGATAAAATAGGAGGACAGGAGGAATTTAAGTGCTGGAGTGACTGACATGTAGGGAAATCTACTCAATGGTAATTGTCATCACAGTCAACAGATCTAAGACTGTTGTCATGTCCACATCATTACCCTAGGTAACGTAACCCCTTCAGCACAGCCCAAAGATTAAACCCGATTACCCTATTTGCGGTATGGTTCAGCTACATGCTGCGCTAATGTGTTTCCTGAGCTGTTCCAAGAAGCATAAATTTACTGTTTGGATGACTGTTAACTTCTCAATCATTTAAAATTTCAAGACAAATTTCCATGACAGCTAATTTCAAGCAACATGGTTATGAATGCCACATACCAAAAAGGCGCATAACATGTAAAACGTGATGAAATATACGATAGCAAAGTTGCTACCACATGTAAACTCTTCGCCCGGACCATATTCTGACTCTGGGTCACAGCGTCTTCCAGGCATGCATGCCAACATGATCTCTTGCCAGGCTTCACCAGTGGCACACCTGTTGAGACAGCAATAAGACATCGGAAAGAATATCAATGCTAATTTAATATTCACGTTAACTGCTAACGTAATCCTTGCAAGACGTTCTCACATTCCAAAGCCTACAAAGTCATCGATTTATTGTAAAACCTACTCGACTTGCAAATCCCTGGAGTCATGACCCAAATCCTCTGATCTGGGCCAGAACCCTATTTCTGATCCTGATTGGACAAAGAGTTACTAACTGACTTTCCTATGATCTTTCAGGCTGCAGTTTCAATGCAGGATTGTTCATAAAGGATGCAGTGCAGCAATCCTTGCGAGGAGCAATACAATGAATTTTTGTGGAAGCTACAGCCCCTTTTTCCAGCACGACTGGCTTGAAGGTCCATATTTTCCTTGAAAATTATGGAACGAAGGTAAGTGCATCATGTCAGTAGTTGTGGTGGGAATTTGATAGGGTATTGAGGAAAGGCTGGCAGGAGGGTAAGAGGTAGGGTGGTAGGTAAATGAGGGGGTGGGTGGCAAGTGAGTGGGAGTTGGTGTAAATGGAGTAGGTGGCGGGTGTGGATGGAGGCTAGCAGGTAGAGGATGGAGTTATTTGGTAGGTGGACATGGCAATAAGGAGGCAAGAAGGTTATGGGTAAAGTGGCAGCAGAGCTTTGGGTGACTTCAAGTCTATGGACAGCAGAATACAAAACATTGGCCAGGAATCAGTAAAATCATCCACCTTATCCACCCTGGAAAGAACAGGGTGGATAAAGTGGATGAAGGTTTCAGCAGCAGGAGTAAAGACTGACGATACAAAGCAGGTAGAAATAGGAGGTTTCAGTGTCATTATGGATATGTAGTTAAAAGTTCATCATTGGGTTGAGAACAGTCGAGTTCAGCCTCAGACAGTTGTGTGGGGGCATGAATTAAATCAGTGGCAAGGGAGCAGCATGCATCACAGACATACAAGTGACTTCAATCTTTTTAATATTAGAAAAATGTCTGTTCATCCTTTTTGGATTTTAGATTAACAGTATGATCATTTAAAGACAGTGGCAGGGTCAAAAAAAAAAGTAGCCAGGTAGAGACAGTAGGAACTGCAGATGCTGGAGAATCTGAGATAACAAGGTGTAGAGCTGGATGAACACAGCAGGCCAAGCAGCATCAGAGGAGCAGGAAAGTTGACGTTTCGAGTCTAGACCCTTC